AACATGAATTATTAAAGTTAAAAGTTTAAATAGATAAACTTCCAAACTATGTATTTTCATCTGAGAGTAGTTTTTATTTATTTCAATGAATCCGTATATATTTTGGGAGAAGGATGTATATAACTTACAAGCGTGGGTTGATTCTTTTGTATGTCGCTTAGTGGTTTTTTTTGTATGTTGTTTATCTGAAATAGATAGATGAAATATGATAATTTCAAATCCAAAATATTTATGAGTACAAAGAATATAAACATGTAACAATAGTTTGCATTGGTAACTGTTTTGATGTACGAGTTATGTTCTTTACTGGTGCAGTTTAATAGTTAGAAAAATAACAAAGATAGGGAAAAAAAATTTTGAAATGTATAATATGATAGTAGAAAAAGAAGGGGTAGATGAAAATGTTTTACAATAAACAGGGTGTATATATTAATATGGTAGAATGTTCACAAGAAAATGGGGATAAATTTCTACTTTACTCCGTAAATTGGAAAGGTTTGTTTCATTGACGGAATTGTTCTGCTGTTGTATGATGAGTTGCCGCTGTTGCTCGTTTTTTACCGGTTAACATATCACGTCTTGGTCTTTTATGTATTAGAAGGTCTTCTAATGTTCGGTTTAATAAAGTGCCAAGAATTAGTCGAGTATGTTTGAGACGTGATCCTGAATAAACGTAATATTTTTGCCATATTTTTCTATATTCTTTTTTAAAATTCAGTAATGGTCCATTTTCAAATGTATAATGAAGATAAATTTGATCTTTATGTTCGTTTGTGTTTTGGTTTTGAATCAATTGATCATTTAACTTTACATTGGTTTTAGTTTCTCTTTTTGTTGGTTTGTAAAGTAATGTCTGATGTAATTTTTCATATGATTCACTGTTTAGTTCAGTCCATGTGCTCATAGCATTAAATTGCAGAAAAAAATTTTTTAAATGGTATTGAATAAATTTTGGTGGATATCCATTGACCAACAATATCATTTCAGCACTTAATCGTTCCATATCAAAATCTTCCACAGTTGAACATATACGTGCAGCTCGAACTAACATTGTATAAATTATATTCGCATGCACATGTCGTGGATGATCAGATTCATAAGGTAGAATATGAGGTTCCCAAGCTGTTTTATGATAAATAGTTGTTTTTAATTGTCCTTTATTATTTTCAATGCTGGCATCAAGATATTCTAATGCGTGATTTATTGTTATAGTAACTTTAATGTTGGGATCATTTTTCGTTGTTTCTTCGAGTTCACGTAAGATTTCTTCTTTTGTTAAACTCGTAGTCATAAAGACATCATCAATATATCTACAAAATATTAATAAAGTATCTGTATAAAAGAATATAAAAATAATTAGTTGCAACTTACCGGCCATAAATTTCTTGATGTCTATTTTGATGTTGAATTAATTTTTGTTCCCATTCTAGCATATAAATATTTGCTAAAACCATAGTAAATGGTGAACCCATAGCACCACCTTTAATTTGTCTATAATATTTTTCTTTATAAGCAAATGTATTGGTATCTAAAACAACACAGGCTAATTTAATAATCGTATCTATTTTAAGATTTCCAATTTTTTCATTCATTGAGTATTTTTTACAAAATCGAGTTAAAGCTGCAATAGCACCATCACGTGGAATCATTGTATATAAATCAGTCACGTCAAATATAACAAATAATGTTGTTGATGTCAGATAACCTTTTTGATCATATTCTTTTAATTTTCGAATCACATCTATACTATTAATAAATGTTATATCTTTTGTCACATAATTGTAAATTGGAGTGAGAAGTTGTTCTAAAAAACTTGATATTTGTCTAGCAGGTGCATTGATGGAAGCAACAATAGGTCGAACTGATATTTCAGGCTTTAAAAAACGAAATGGAGTAATTATCAAGAAAAAAAAAAGACAAGAAACATTTTACCTTATGTACTTTAAGATTGAAATAAATGTGAGCTAATTCTAATGTTTTTAGATTTGGATACATTTTTTTGTATTGCTCTTTGTTAATTGCATTCCGTTCAAGTAAATGATCAAGTAATAATATAACTAAATGTAAATCATCTCCTAATGGACAAATTCCACTGGTAATTTCATTATAAGCATTTGTTTTGTTCATATAAGTTTGAATTTTTTCTTCATATTCCTGCGCATCAATAAAAAAGAATAATTTACTTTTATCAGTTTGACCAACAGCAATATTTGCTTTTCGTAATTTTCGTTGCATTGACTTTATCATCTTGTAGATATATTGCGCATGTCGTTTAAGTTTTGTTGGTAATGGTTTCGTATATAATTGTTCAAGTAAATTTTTTATTTCAGTGAAATATTCAATAGCACGTGTATCCTTTGTTGAAAATGTATAATCAGTAAGATTTTTAACATTTTCACCATGAAGACGATTATATTCTCGTTCAATAATTTTTTCCACAGGTTGACGATAATAAAAATGACTTTGGCATGGTGGAATATATTTTAATCCTTTATTAATAATAAGTAATTGTTCATTTGAGAATGGTATAACAGTATTGACAAAATATAAACTAACGAGGGAAGGTCACCAACTGTTCAATCGCTTTTTAGTCGGAACTATGTGCATCATGTAGGTCCTAATGAGCTATGAATATCCTGAAAAGAGTTCTGGCGGCTAGCTTATTATTGGCGAGATACTGCATTTTTATGGTACTTTTAACTAAGCACAATGCCGTAGTCCCCCTCAGGAACCAGAAAAACTGAGTTTCGAGTTTTGACTTGAAACTTTGTACAGAAACAGACCTCAGTGAGAGTAGTTTATTGCGAAAGTTTCAGGCCTTTTGGTTGTTCCTATCCTAAGATACAGCTCAAAAGGGTGTTTTTACACTGCTCGTATACCCTCGACAGGTTCCGATGTGCTTATTTCAGAATAGGAGCAACCAACAGATCTGAAACTTTCAAAATAAGCCACTCTCACTGAGGTCTGTTTCTGTGCCAAACTTCAAGTCAAAATTCAAAACTCAGTTTTTTTGGTGCTCCTGAGGGAGAACACGGCGTTCTGCTTAACAATATCGTAAAAATGCAGTATCTCGACAGTAATGGGCTAGCCGCCCGAATTCTTTTCAGGGTATTCATAGCTCATTAGGACCTACATGATGCACATAGTTCTGACTCAAAGGCGATTGAACAGTTGGTGACCTTCCCTCGTAAGAAGCATGTTTGGATGATTTCGAATATTTAAGTTTAATTTGCTCCGACGCCATCGTTGTTCATTGTAGCGTCTTGTGACGCCGGAGCTTCGTCGAAAAAAGATTTTATTTTTTGTTGTGTAATATAATCAGCACGTTCGATCATATGTTGTTGACGTGTCTCAATAGCTTCCATTAATTGCTTGAACATATCTGAATTGGTATTATTTTTTTTTAGTTTATCACTAATAGTTATTAATTTCTTTTTTTCTTTTTTTGCTATTTTATCATAATATCGAACTTTTTCTTCACCGGCTGCAATACTTAATTCAAGTAAATCATATTTAAATCGACCAATTTTTTTTAATCGTCGAGCAGCTAATGTAGTTTGTTGTTTGCAATCATTATCATTAGTTGAAGATTGTTTCGATCGATGAAGTATTAATTTATCAATTCTATCAAGTGAATAATCAAGAAGATTGAATGCTGGTGGTAAACAATTTGAATGAATACGATGTTTTAAGATTTGAATTTGTTCTTCCATTTGTTTTTTATTTTGTAAGGCTTTCCATATATTACGAATTGAACGAATTTGTTGTTTATTAGGTTTTAAATCATAAACATTTTTTACTAAACGATGGTCAGTTGAGTCTAATATTAATATTTTTTTATTATGTTCAAATTGTTGTTTTAATTTATGTTGACCTTTACGCACAACAGCGGTAACAATTGCGTTCAATTTTGTAAAATCTAATGCAGGATTCATTTCTGATATAGATTGAGGTAATGCTTGTTGACCAAAATTGCGCAATGCTTCAGATGCTTCTTGTAGTTGCCGTCCAATTTTTTTAAGTCGTTGTTCAATTAAATTTTTTGATCGACCATATGTATAATTCATACTATTCATCGCCGCCCATTTTTTTGATACACGTCCTGACCAAATATTTTGTTGTATACCAATATCATAGTAATATTTCCATTGACTTTCTTGTAATTGTACATAAAAAAGACGATGAATTAAATAAGCATATTGACGAATATAATTAATTTTTTCTTTAGAATTTAATCTTTTAACAATATCTTTAGCATCGTCTAATGAACTAATTAACATTTTTTTAAATATACGATTTGATACTTTTAAATAATCGGGTACATAAGCCGAGTCATTATTATTATGATTATTTTGTTTTTTACATTTTGAACTTTTCTTTTCTGAGTTTCCACTTGTAGTAATTTGTTGAACTTCATTATTTATCATTTTTTGCTTTTTTGCTGATGGTGGAGAAATTGTTAATTGACTTAAAGATTCATGAATTGTATTCGATGGTGGTTGTGAAGACATATCTCTTCTTTTGCGTTTGATTGATTTTTTCACTTTACTATGATTGTGATGAATTTTACTTTGTGTCGAATGAGGAATCTAAATCAGCAGATGAACATTTAGCAAAAAAAAGATTAAAACTAAAAAATTACTTGATTGGATGTTACATTCACTTGTATTTTGTCTGTTATATCTTCTTCAATTATTTGATCATGTTGTTCCAGGTGTTGAACATTAAGTTCGTGATCACCATTTCTAGCTCCTGTTTCTGTATATAAACCTTTTCGACGAAGTCGTCGACGTTGACGTTGTGCTTTTCGATTACCACGAGATTTTTTTTTCTTTTTTGTAAGTTGTTCACCCATATGTGTTTGTTGTTGTTGTTGTCCTGTTAGCACTTGTGTTGGTGATAATAATTCATGCCATCGACCTTGTGCATCTTGACGAGGAGTTTTCAACGTGTCTAAATTCATAGTTGATTTTTCATTCATTTTAAATATTTTTATCTAGAATAAAAAAAAATGAGTTCATTAAAGAAATGATGATGAAAAAAAAAAAAGACTACAAAAAAATAACTTCAGTAATCCAGAGTATAACTAGAAACATATACAAAAAAAAACTATTACAATAGGTACAACATAAGTTTTTTTTATACTATTCAATTTTAACAAAAAGCAATTGTTTTACTTAGCGTTTATTGAGTAGAATAATTGCGACCATCAT